TATATATAATGCGTGTATTTATGATTCTGTAGGTGATAATGGGAGGTGGTAGGAATAGATTGACACCAAATACGCAAGCAGACGTCGAGGACCCAACGCTACACGGAAAGCGGTCAGATGATAGAAACCTGATCGACGAATGGACAGAGGGGATGACTACAAACGGCTTCAACCACGCGTATGTTTGGAATGTTACGCAATTCAACGATATTGATCCGGAAAACACCGAATATTTACTCGGTGAGTGTATTGCAGCACCATCTGCATGTATGTACGCTCAGCCTCTGATTCTGCTGCCAGCGCTATATATAATCCCCAACTTATGTGAACCAATTATGTGAGCAGCGCAATAATTTTGCGGGGAAGCATATTGTACCAATGTAAAAACTGTTATCCCTGTTAGAGGCATGATGTTCTGTTACTGTCGGTTTTCACTACGTTGGATAAGGATGGGCGACAAGATAAGTGCCGATAGAACGTGGTATCAGTACTATGACAGAATCAATCGATTAAAATCAGTTCAAGAATAAGATAAATGCTTTTCTGACGCGTCTGTTTTTTTGGTAAAGAATTGAATCTATTCGTTCTATCGAATCTATCTATAAGTTCGCATTTAGCGGGTTCGAAACAGTAATCGTTTTTTTCTCCAGGTCTTTTTGATTCCGACCGGATGCCGTACATCGTTGATAGCACACCAGACGAGGCAGAGAATCCCACGCTCTCAGAGATGGTCAAAAAAACGATTGAAATTTTGCAGAAAAACCCCAACGGATATTACCTGTTTGTTGAAAGTATGCTGCATATACGTCAATCACGAGCTGATCGATACACTGCTACTATAAAGCATTATTAAGAATGATTAAATTCTCGTATTGAGATTAATATTATTGTTAGTCCTGCGATATTTAGCAGCGATATAATATTAGTACACGAAGCGCAAACCTAGAAAATAATGAATTACACTGTACTTATATTTGTGGAACTACTAGACGTGATGGATTACGGACGATATAATCTGAATGATGTGCGGGGTCGTGTATATAATTATGCAATTAACCTATATCATTAACATCGTACATAATATAATTACGCACCATCGTATATAGTCTATTTGACCGCGTACGTCACCAAAAAACTAAACTTCTGATTGATTAGCTTCGATTTGTCTGTGACCTTCATTATGAGTATTAGAACAAAAAAGCAAAGATCAAAAAGTCAGTAATGTCTTCCAATTCTCAGCTAACTATTTGATGCTTGGCGATTGCCGGTGGTTTTGGTGGAGTAGGTGTTACGCGCTTGTCTGTCCGGGTCGCGTACGTGTTCAACCACGCATGCCTTTGTTCTGGTCCAACGATTACAGTTCTTTAGTCCTACGGGTCGTTGGTCCTACGGGTCGTTGGTCCTACGGGTCGTTGGTCCTACGGGTCGTTGGTCCTACGGGTCGTTGGTCCTACGGGTCGTTGGTCCTACGGGTCGCTGGTCCTACGGGTCGTTGGTCCTACGGGTCGTTGGTCCTACGGTGCACGCAGGCACACGTTATTGTTTTCTTTAATTGTTTGTTTATTCTTTAATTTTTTTCATAATTTAATTCTTTAATTTAATTTTGTTTTAAATTCAATTATAATTTAAAAAAAAGTAAATTTAATTTTTGATTAATTTTTTATATATTTCAGTTTAAATGGATTTTTTTTAATTTCATGTTTTTTTAATTTTAAATTACCCACGACCAATGTGTCCTACGGTGCACGATACAAATAATACGCTGATGCACATTAAACTTATAATAAATGAATACTAACAATAAAAATAATTATACTGGTCAAAAATATACACAGTGTATTTACACAGCAGCTGGACTGCCTGTGTAGTGTACCACAGCACTTCTTAAACTGGTGTATGGTTCACCCAAGGGTGAATGAAATTATTTTGAGGTGAATGAAACTAGACCAAAAACATAAGGAAATTTTGTCGAGGGTGAATTAATGACACTGAAATAGTTTAAGAATTATTTTCTTCTTCCTCTTCCACTCCTGTCTGGTGCATACTTCAATCATAGTGAAAAGCCACATACATAATAAAATTGGAAAAAAAAATTTTAAGAAAATTTAAACAAATACAATTAAAAATTGAAATAAAAAAAAATTGGTCATTCACTCTACCCCTCTTACTAATAACCGTAGGACCAACGACCCGTAGGACTATAGATCGGTTCCCCAACTGAGCTTTATATTTATCACTGTGCATTGCGTTCACGAACCATAGGTGTCGTCACGTTACGGAATGTAGCGACTTCATAATAGTTCACATCATGAGTAAACAATAATAGATTAATAATTCATAATAGATAAAAGATTAATAATTACAATAATAGATATAATATAATAGATTAATCTATTATTATTCACACCTGTTCACATGTAGGTTCCAACATTGATGCCGCTCACCACGACGGTCGAGCGGTCGCCTCCATCAACGAGGTGGTCGTCTTGGATGCTGCTGTGAAGGTCGCGATAGATATGACAGATAGCAAAGATACGCTGATAGTGGTCACTGCAGATCATTCCCACTCAATGACCACGGCCGGATATCCAGTTCGTGGCAATCCCATATTTGGTAATAATATATAGCTGAGATGACAGTTATCACGGGAACTACTTACAGGGCATAGAATTCAATATCTGCTGTAAGGCACCTTACATAGTGGACATGATGACATGAACTATGCGTTCTAGACATTTAATGTGTCTTAATTGAGTTAGCGATCATCCGTGTTTTACAAACCAAAATTTAATTGTACGTTATAGGTACTGCAAGCGAAGTTTCGGATGTGGATGGGAAGCCCTACACAACGCTACTTTACGCTGCTGGTGCTGGTTACGAGCATTCACCCCGGCGCAACCTAACCGGCGTTGACACAGGTGAAGATTCAACGTGTGAAGACTAGCGTGTGCTGATTATTCGAGCAAAGAATAATCGTACTGGCGTTTACAATCACAAGCTATAAATGACGATATAACGCCGCCACTTCTCGAATGTATGTTATTGGGTACAACGTTGTAATGACCCATTTCCAGCTGACCCAATGCACAAACAGGACGCCGCGATACCACTTGTAGAGGCGCCACATAGCGGGGAGGATGTAGCCGTGTTCGCTAATGGACCGATGGCGCATCTCTTTAGAGGCAACTTTGAGCAGACGTTTATAGCGCACGCGATGGCGTACGCCATGTGTGTGGGAAGCAACAAACAGCACTGTACCGCCGAACCGGTAACGATTGATATATTTTAATGCCAGAATCACGCAGCAATGACAATATGCACATATTAGTCATACGTATCATCGTCGCAATCTTCATGATCAACAAAAACACCATTAATAATAAACATATCCTTATCGATGATGTAGTCATCGTCAATGTCACACTACTAATTCATCTGCTCCTATTTTCTTATCTTCTATATATATATATATATATATATATATATATATTAGCAAGAGCTAATAATACCTAGAGTGTACAACAGAAAAACGGAAAAATAGTGCTATTTCACGACTACATTATTCTACTTTGCCTGCGAGTCTAGAATAATTTCATGGTATTGCATTAAGCAGAATTCCTTGCTCTCTACAACAAGACCAACCGCTTGTCAATACGATACTCCTAGGCTGAGATATCGGCTCCTAAACCTCCCCTCCCACATGCCTTACGCGGCTTTGTATCCACATAATTCAGCAACCTACACGCGTCTAAGCATTGCTTCGTGAAAGTTCGGTTTTTCCGCGATAAATTTATGAATGAACGGTGCTTCGCCTATGCCCTTATCTTCCATTATCTTTCCTAGCACGGCTAATGCCCGTCATGATGGAGCCGGCTCCATCAAGTTTTTTAAACGCAGCTCAGTTACTCAGTGTAGTAAAAGTACCAAATTTGGGCATGTGACATCAATTATCAGCGCTCCAAGCGGTGACGGAAACCGATAGCCAAAATGCTTAGACGCGTGGAGGTTGCTGAATTATGTGGATTCAAAGCGGCGTAAGGCATGTGGGAGGGGAGGTTTAGGAGCCGATATCTCAGCCTAGGAGTATCGTATTGACAAGCGGTTGGTCTTGTTGTAGAGAGCAAGGAATTCTGCTTAATGCAATACCATGAAATTATTCTAGACTCGCAGGCAAAGTAGAATAATGTAGTCGTGAAATAGCACTATTTTCCCGTTTTCCCGTTGTACACTCTAGGTATTATTAGCTCTTGATATTAGCTTGATATTAGTAACATTGTTTTATTGTTTTTTATCAGATTGGGATTTGCTCAACTAAAGACTCAGTCGACGACCTAACGACATCACCCACAGGAACAGCCCTCACTCACAGACTCAGTAACGGATTAGTGTATTTAGCCATTGTAAACATATTCATCGTATTAAATCAATATATTTAATAACAACTTGTGACCAACCCGTATTGTGGCGCTTCTCAGCCTGTGTGAAGGTTCACTAATTAGCTATCAATATCATTGCATGGTTGACATCACTAATAGCTTTAATACTAATAGGTTTCATTTTTTATTATTATTTCATATCCTTGGTGTGGTGTTTGAGTAAAGGTTGGTGTTATATATCTTCTTGCTACCATTGCCGATGATGGCGACTCAATATTGGTCAGCGCTTGTAAAGAAAATCGAGTTGATCTTTCTGTAATCTGTCTTATATTAGCATTGATTTGATTAGTTTCATTGGCTTTAAGTGCCACGGATATTATAGTTTCATATGTGGTAGCAACTATAACAGAATACGAAACACATATTTTGATACAAAAACAAAATGTTTTATTTATTTTTTGGTCATATTTTCATAGGAACCGCATAGGTTGGAAAAACTGTCGACGACAAATATCAATATAGCAAAGAATATATATATATATATATATATATATATATATATATATACCATTTTCGAGAGAAAATATCGTTACATGTGTTTGGCGTATGACCAGCTAGTTGGCTTGGTCATGTGTCGCAAATAGCTAACAGAGTTGGTTTCGTACCACTGCATTATGTTTTTTCGTAACAATAACAGGCGTTATTAATAAAACGTTATCAAACATATTTGTATTTACTTAAATATATTATTGTTCTTTCCGGTTAGCAATTACCCTAGTGTAGGTCTCTGCATGGTGCTGGCAACGTTTGATATGACGTAGCGATGGTAATTTTCAATGAACAGAACCCCTATAGACTATGTACCTCATATTACAGTCACACCTCATATTGTTCTTTTCCACTCATATCATGGGCAGCAGCAAATTTCGATAATTGCGAGGGCGCGTACGAGAAAAGGCATGCTGCTTCTAAACAAAGTACTCCTAGTTACTTTGAGCTTCAATCAGCCAAATCTTGTCAAATGACTGCACGGGAACGGGCTGTAAATTGTTTATTTCATTGCACAAAACCTATCAATGACGATTTTGTCAGTAGGATATAAACGTTCATGCCACCGCATTTCTTAGAATACCGTTTCATCTAAACCCTAACGCCAAAATTTCTCAGATCCTGCCAGGTCCGATTGCAGTCTTTGGCAAGGATTCGTGTCAACTTGCTAATGCCTGCTGCTGAGTACAGAAAGCCACCGGCTTCAGCATGGATGTCTACGTTATCATCGGTTCTCGACAATAGGTAAACATGTGTTGTTTTTGTGTTATGTCGTTTAAACTGCAATGTCGATGCGATACATAATATCAGGAGTGAATAATTATAG